AGCGTTAAGTAATTATTTAGGTGGGGGGTTAAAGGGCCTGTTATAGGGGGGAGACACGGTATTCAAAATATTTCAAATATGCATTTCATAATATATAGAAAGCTCCTAAGAATATTTTAGATTTTGAATGTCCTTGACTACACATATGTCGAATTTATTTTTGATAGTGATATTAATTTCAGTTTCAGAGTTGCCACAATTGAAAAAAGAAATCTCTATTTAGATGCAACCTTTCACAAGAACTGAACATTATTTACCACTCAATCAACATCAATATCACCACAGAGGTGAAATGTTCCAAAAATAGTAGTACCTTACGAGTTCAGATCAACCTTAAGCTTGTCAAATACTGTCCCACTGAACACCATCTGAATGTAAGCATGAATAATTCATTGACAGAGTACACAAACACATTTCTCAAAACAATTCACAGTGAAAGTGGAAGCAGATTTACACCTTCCATAGATGACCTGAGTTATTCCTGGAAGGATATTTCCATGGATGAGAATCTCTTTCAATGCAATTTGTATAGTGGGCTTTGTTCTTTTGATTTCTTACTATTACTGTTGGGGGGAAAATTCCTCTAAATCGCCTCAAGACTACTGAAACTGTATTGTCTCTTACAAGCAGGATTCTCTTGTAGGTAGGTTGTCTAAGAGCAGAGTACCACTGTGTTTAATATGTTACTTAGTGTATAAAACTGGTGATACAAAGTTTCAGGAGGACAATGTATCATAAACCATTCATTCCTTGAATCTTCAACTCATATTCCTCAGGAGTTAGTGAAGGATCAAGTCCATGTGATTTCATTTGTACCACAATATCAAAGAGATAATCATAACACTCACACCTAAAAAAGACACAATAAACAATTATTTTTGTATTTATATTGGTTACTAATTACCTGTTATTGGGGGTATAATTACTAACATAGTTTTAGCCTGTTGCCATGTATCTCCCCAAACATAAACTCCATGCCTTCGAACAAGAACAGCAGTTGTCTGAGGATATTCTTCAATGACTTGAGCCATTCTGTCTTTCAAATCTGCTTCCCAAGGAGTATTTTCAATTATCGGCACTACCAATTCTTCATCATAATTGTAATTCCGGCCCAATTTCTGATTCTTTATGCCCTATTAAAAAAAAGAACATTGAATTAGGAATAAGTTAATAAAAAGATGTAGTCTTCAAATAGAAACTTTTCAATAAAACAATACCTTTATCATTTCAAGGTGAGTACAGCGAAACTCTTTCCCAGGATAAAGTAAAGTTGCCATTACAGCAGCCTTTGAATGTGTATGAATGACAGCGCCAGCTTTTCGGGCTATTCATATAATTAAAAGACAATAAAATTGGACAAAGCCTCCAAAAAAATATTGTACTGTGCATTCACACTATTACAACTTTACCTGTGTAAGCACACATAAAGAGAGGAGTGCATTGGCTTTTCTTCAGTTTCTTTTCTGGTGGAGGGAGCTGAAGATCTTTTCCTTCAATATTTTGAACAAACAAATCTTCAGGCTTTATTCTTTCTTTTTGAACACCAGAAGGTGCAATGTAAATTTCATCACTGTCAAAAACAGATTGATATAACTTTATAGTGAAAGATCGAATCAGAACACTTAACAATTTCAAACTCTATGCATTATTACCCATGTTTTATACTAATTCCTCCACCTGTGCCGGTAACCCAACCAAGATCGTAGAATAGCCGACACAACTCCGGAATTAATTTTCTTGGATGTTCCTGTTAACACGAAGCAAATAAGAATTAAAACACTTTTGATGGCATCCATATCAATAATTTTATTTACAAATTCTTACCTCGGTCACTTCCGAGGTTATAATCGACATGATTATGATGGAAATAAAACGGGAATCGATTCGAATAAAAATACAACTAGATTTCTTTAAAACCACTTC